TAGTATACTACACATGTCTAATGTATACCTCAATCATGTATAGTTATATATAATCATGTACAGTTTTTTTATCCCAAAATTATGATCGACCGATTATGTAAACCATTAATTCATATATAAAAAAATTCATCTTCACCAACAACTAATATCACAATTTGAATTTTGATATTATAAATTCAATTAGTACCAAATAAAAAATTGAAAACACAATATCATCATGACCACTATACAAAAAATCACATGGCTTATATATAACTATATATTACCATATGCTACTACACGTGACTATATATGACTACATGTATATGACTACTCGTGACTATATATGACTACATGTATACGATTACTTGTGACTATATATGACTACATGTATATGACTACATGTGACTATATGAGTATAGTCATATATAGTGTAGTTTGTATTTATAGCTTCAAATCCTACTTTTTAACACGACAACAAATCTATCGATTGCAAAAGAACTGCACCATGTCCTCTCGACAAAAACTTATTGCATAGAAGTTGTTCGAACACCAAGACTTGTGACAAAAAAATCAAATTCACCTTAAAAATTGAAGTTATAAATCAACTCAACAACAAAATACGGATTGAAAATACACAATCACATGCACATGTTACTACAAATTACTATATATTCCATTTTAGAGAGATGAGGCAATTTGTTCCAAGTACCCCATCTTAAATTAATTCCTCCACTGTTGTATTCCATACATAATTCACCTCAAAACCAAATCCAGTATCTTTCTCACCATTTAAAAAAAAAAAAAATTGAAATACAATTAACGGAAAATGGTTTAAAATTAACGGAAAATTATTAAAACATTATCAAATGCTAAATTATTCTCGGCAAGTTATACAAATAACAAAACACGTGAGAAAAAAATACGATTTAAAGAATACGAAGAACAAAAATAGAACAAGCGAATTACATTACATGATTTTTTATAAAATACATAAACAATGAAAATCATTTCTTTTGACATATTTACTTTAGTGAACTATAACCCCATATGGTCACCTATAGTCACATGTAGTTATGTTCCTTCTTGTAACAACATATGACTATATATAACTATATGTGCCTATATAGTCAACTATAGTCACATGTAGTTATGTTACTTCTTGTTACTACATGTGACTATATATGACTAGGTAATTTTCATCTTAATAAATGCAGTAAATATATACAAACCAAAAACAAAAAAATAAACAAAATCTCCCACCACATTCTACTCCGCCACCCAATTCAAGGAAAACAATTCATCAAGCAACTCATTTTATTACACAAAAAAGATACCTAAACAATTGCGTAAATCATCAGTTCTACTTTTTTCACATAAATCGAACTTAATACAAGTGTCCAACATCAATCCATAAAACAATAAAAATTTACAACAAATTACCTCATACAGATTAGAGACTCGTGCGGCGGAATACATTGAAATATTGATTATGTTCATCGATTGCGGCCGGAATACAGATCCTATTCTTCTCCGGAAATACAAATCGTCGTCGAAATACGGCACGGCAACAAATTTATATATATATATATATATATATATATATATATATATATATATATATATATATATATATATATATATATATATTGGCGGCGAGAGACGAGCGATTGCGGGCGGCGGTGGAGGGAGCAGCGGCAGCAGGGGAGCAGTAGCGGCGCGCTACGGTGGAGGGAGCAGTAGCGGCGGGCGACGGCGGAGGGAACAATAGCGGTAGGCGACGATGAAAGATGCAACGTCGGCGGCGGCGGTGGAGGGAGCAGCGACTGTGGGCGGCGCAAGTTGAGAGAGGAGCAGAGGTGCTCGTATGACTGGTGGATAGAGAGAGAGTTAGAGAGAGAAGAAAAGAGAGGGGGGAGAGATGTAACGGCTGATGAGTGGGAGAGAAACTAGGGTTTGAAAAATTAAAAGGGTAAATTAGGTATTTCAAGTTGCTCAGGGGGTCTCACTAATTAAGATTATAATTTGGGTTTTTGACTAGAAAAGAAAAATTCATAAGACCTATGTGTATATATTTTAAAGACTAGTGGGTTATCCCTCATTTCCCCTAAAAATAAAGTGTCATGTGCTTAGGACAATGAATAAACGCCACGCATCACATTTTTATTAGTGCAACATACTTTCACAGTCCACTCTTTTTTCGATTTTTTTGTCATTTATAACAATTAAATCTTATCTTTCATTTAAAAAAAACATCTTTTTTTTCTAAAAATGAACAATTATTTTCCCTTTTTACTATTTTGTCAATGAATACGAACTTATCAATTTTTATTCAGACCACTTGAATTTGAAATTACACTTAAAAATACTATTTGCCGTAAAGTTTTACATATTTAGAAGGAATAGCCATTTGTATGATTTTTAAGTTTTTTTTATGCTTATGATTAATCAATGATATAATTGTAAATTTTTCTCTTTAAATTTTAATCGGCCAACTATTCAAAGATTGTTTAGACTGGACAATTTATAGATATAAAGGAGTGTTGTGTTCAAATTTCTCTACTTTTGGACGAACGCCACAAAGAATAGTAAATCTTTTTTTTTCTTTTTATCGTTTTGCATATGTTGACGTATGTGTATTAAATTTTATTGTTAAAATAGATATATAGATTATGATTGCAATTAGTGGAATTTTTACATTTTCGGTGTTCCATTGTTTTGCTATTGTACATGTCATATATGTTTACTAACTTCTAATTTTTCCCATCTTATATTTTTTTTTTCAATGTCCGCGCGTCAACGCAAGGGGCAAAATACTAGTTCGTGTATAAAAATGTTTTATATATGTCGTCGATATATAAATCTTATTTTCAATATTATTTCATAATGTTAATACATAAATATTGTTTTGTTTTTCGACTTCAACAATAAAAATATTGAAAAGGGAAATATCGATACAGTATAATCGGCAAACCACGCTTATAACTTGTGGCGAGTTCACTTTATGGCTAGGGTGGACTCAAGCCCCCTTTCAGTTACAAAATTTTCCATTATATTACACATATATTTATTTTATTTAGCCCATCCAATTTTCATTATTTATCCCGCCCAAAATTCATACTAATGCCAAAAAAAAAAGTTCCTAAATTTTATTATAAAAAAATAGTTGTAATTAATATACATTGTTATAAAATTTGGAAAATATCATGATACATTTGATTTGTGTATTATTCTATCGTAGAGATACCCTATTTATAATAAGGGTATGTGTCTACTGTCTAATTACAATCTAACTAGAACTCCTAATCTAAGTATAACTCTATAATAAGAGAATTGTAGTTATTCTTCTTCTTTTTTAAGTTCCCTTTTGTAGTTTTATAGGGGTAATTGGGAATTTATTGATGTATAATAAAATAATTATTTCATCCAAAAATTATAAAAGAAATACTCTCTTTTTAGAATATTGTTAACTATTTGCTTAATTGATTCATCAGAAAGAAAAAAATTCTGACTTAAAGATTATTAACTTGATTTTTAAGATTGATTATATTGAATGAAACGTTAATAAATCAAGCAAACTTATGTTAAAAGAACATGGATTCGATAACTTAAATCAATACATCAACTCGAGAATTGTGTTAGACCTCCTTTGGTTAGGGAGATTATCCATGATTAACTAAATAGTTGAACTTTATTTGATGTTTTGGTATCCCTCGTAACTTGCTGGTCGACATATAAATATTATGTTATCATGATTTATCTTTATTTTAAGCATGTTTTTTATTGGACCTTTCATGGTCCAATAAAACAATTGAGTTTCATAAGATTATTTAATCTTATCTCATTTAATCTTATCTTGGCAACCAAATAGGGCCCTTACATCATAAATTTATAAGGTAATTCTTTTAGAATGTCTTCACTTATTACCTGTTTTACGCCTGAATTGTGTGTGGTACATAAATATGCCTTGTATAATGAATGATCTACATTAAGATAATCATCATAAATAAAAGCGTAAAATTCATTTGCACCCATGTACTATGTGAAATATATCATTTTTGCCCTGAAGTATAGAAAACATCAAACACCTCCTGCCGTTAGCCTTTTTTCTAATTTCCATTAGTCAAACCTTTTAACCGACTATTGCAAAGAAATTTTGGTTTTTTTTTTTTTTTTTTTGACGAAAATACCCCAAATTCTTTTTATATATATGTTGTTTAGTTTTGACAAATGTTCACCAGATTTTTCACTTTTTTTCAGCATTTCTTTTTTTCACTTCATTCAGTCATTTTTTTAACACTATTTTAGCCATTATTCTTATAAAAAAACTGAAAAGTCGAATAAATAAGAATGAAGTTTTGCAGATTATGAATGTAAAACCTATAAAAAAAAAAAAAAAGCCCTGAAATCTGAAAAAAACTTAAAATTGGAATAAAACCATATGAAAGAATTGTAAATAAAATACATAGTTTTTCATATTATAATGAAAAAATCCCCCGAAAAGAAAACTGAAAATCCCAAAAATCAATTACTGTTGTAAATAGCCCTCATGGTATTGCTCTATTGTTTGATGATTGTGGAAAATAAAGTATAACAACAATATTAAAAGATAGAGAGGAAATGCAAAGACAAAAATCCGTAGAGAGAGTATCAAGGGGTGCATTCTTGGGGGAGGGGGAGCTCCATTATATAGGTGTAAAAACCACTCGGAGTTACTAGTGGAGAGTTGGGTGGTAATGTTAGGAAGCCCCACTAATACATTATTTACAATAAATACAAAAATCGACAGAAAACCATAATTTGAACGAACGCTACAAATCGCCAATAATCCACAAAAAATACACTTAAAAAATCAGGGATTAGGGATTATATCAAACATAAAACAGGGTCAAATAATTATTGCACACTCAAATTTAATATCGTTAAAAGTTTGACCATTGACCGTTAAAAATAAAGGGGTGTTTGATGGTTTTTATACGTTAGGGAATAAATGATATCTTTCACATGTAATACACATATAATGCAGGTGTGTAAAATGAATTGTACCCTAAATAAAAAGTGTAGAATATATGGAGATAATAACAAATAAATAGGTTATATGGCGTAAAAAATGACTAACTTTTGTATATATATTTGATATATGTATATAAAATTGTGACGAGGATCGTCCAATGAAGTAATAATTAGGACAAGATCCACATGAAAACAGTGGACCAACCAGTGATAGCAAAGGCTGCAACTAGGTAAGTCCATAGGAACAGCGATGAACACTCCTCTTGTGCCACATCATATAATTGTGTCATTGTACCTACATTGTCAATTTAAATTAATTAGTTTTAACTTTTAATAATAATAATAAATAAATAATATTTATTTTATTATTATAAACCTATTCTTCATCTTGTCACATTCTTGAATCTTGATAAATTATTATTCATCATATTCAAAGAAATAAATGTAGTACAGTTTGTTTTTTGAAAAGGTTATTTATTTTGGTTCAATCAACAAGTAATTAAGTAAGTTATCTAATGTCTATGAGGTACTATTAAAGATTGAAATTGAAACGGAATTTTAGAATTTCGCCGATATAATTTCTTGCTTATTTTTCGTTTTTGGAGAATGAAATTGGAATACAAATTAAATTCTGATTTTTATCCGATTTTATTTTTGAAAATTAAACTTATAATATTAATATCATTAAGGTATCGTTTGATTGTAAGATATGATTAGTTAAAATAAGATTAAATAATCTAATGAAATGCAATTGTATTATTGGATAATTGAAAGTCCAATAAAAATACAAAATAAGTCATCATAATATAATATTTCTGGATCTACCCGAGAAGTAATTAAGTATACCGAACAACAAACAAAGTCTAATTATTTAATTAACCATGGCTAATCTTCCCGACCAATCAAGACCTCTATTTCATATTATACATGACTAAAAAATTCGAAATTCCAAAATTCGCCGATTTCAATTTGAATTTTGTTTATATTTCGGAACAACTTTTTCTTTCCAAATGATTTTTTTCCAATATTTTTTTAAATTTATTTGGAAAATGAGTTGTAATTAGTTTTTGTCCCCGAAAGTGCTGATTCTGATCATAAACGTCCGATTCCCACATGTATATGTACGTGACATTCACATGCAGTGTACTTCTCCGCGTACCAACCAAACATCGAAAAGAACTCGACAAACTAAGGGCCGGTTTTTACCAGATGACTCGTAAGCGTAGAAGTTTATATCGAAAGAGCCCCTCCGAATTTAATTTTATTTTTCCCCCTTTTTTTTTCTCATTTCGAATTTAATTAATTAGGACGGATAGAAACGAAGAATAATAAATCGAGCATACGTACCGATATTCATGGCAGGAGGAAGAGAGAACTGAATCATGAGCACAAATCGGTAGAGTGGATCAGAAGAAAGGAAGCCAAAGTGAGAAGCTGCTTTCACTACAAAAATCCCAACTGGAGGAAGTAATATGTATCTCACACATATCACTGCTATTATTATTGATGGTTTCAATGTTGCCTTTCCCAACCCTGCATTATTCCAATATTCATTTTCTTTTTATATATAAATTAAATTTCGTTTTATTAAAAAAAGAAAAAAATTGAAAAAACAAAATCGAAATGCAAAGAAATGTACCTTGTGTTAAGTTGCCTCCTAGTATTAAGGTGATGCAAGGAATTGTCCCGTCTCTACAAAATTGATATTGCAGTAGAACATCGATAAATTAATAACATCATTTTAATAATATTTGTTTCCGGTCCTGACTCAAGGAATGTGTTAAAAAAATAATTAATTAAATTAATATTTTGTTAAATTAATAGAATTTGGCAGGTCCCAACTATATTAAGTTATATAGTCGTATATTATGTTTTTACATTTAACAAAAACCATACACTTTTTGTTCAATTTTTGTAGTTTCCGAAAAATTAGAAATACATTTCCATACCAAAATTTCAAAACGTGTATTTGGCTTATATGATTTAATAATCAATTGAAAATTGCGTATGATGATAAAATTTATTAAAAATATATTAAAAATTTATAAACCATAATTTGTACATATACTCCTATATTTTGAATATTTATGCATTTTTTTTTCCCAACGTAGATGAGAGGGCATTTTAAACGTACGCAAGTAATTCAATAGAGTCGTAGACCACTCTGAGCGGAGCATTTTCGCCAATGATCAAGTTACGAAGAAACGAAACTGCCCCGATTATTAATCCAAAAATCTGAAATTAATATAATTAGATAACTAGTGTCAATGCCTTTGGAAAATAGACCAAACTTAATCAGCACAAAATAAAATTCGAACAAAACAACTCACCGCAGCAAGAATCGGGGGCGTCGTTAATTCCTCTGCTAGATGATGAAGTGTCCCCCTTGCCGAATTCCACATAGATTCATTATCATTTGCCTCAATTTGCTATAAAAAAATAAAAAAATAAAAAAATAGAAAAGAAATCAGAATCGAAAAAGTCGAAACATCATATGCAAAGACAGAGTTGAGGTAATTACAGTTTCTTTGTTTGTAAGAACAACAGAGAGATGATCTGCTTCAGTAAGTAGAAGAAGAGGTGACGTGTCATTCGCCTCGAAATCTTTATCAGCCTCCGTTTTCGACGAGCACATTGCTTTATGTTTTACGCTCGCACTTCTTATTAAATGGAGACTGATAGTCCATACGTATAGTGCACCAAGCTGTTATTTTAACCGTCACTGGTCAGCATACAATTAATACAGTTGGAACTAGTAAAATTCTATTAATTTAGGAAAATATTAAAGGGTAAATTACAAACACCCCTGAGGTATGGTCAAATTACAAAAACCCCCCTCTTGTTTGGATAATTACATCTACCCCCCTCAACTATGATTTTTTCTTAGACCTCCACCTTTATGGTGCCAAATTCTACATAGTCATCTAGATTCCGTGAAATGTGCTCTAGTTTGTACTCGTTTTGTGTAAACAATACAGTTTCCGATGCACAGCAAACTGATATATACAAGCTAAAAATCACATATTATGATCATCTTGCTTCATAATGTAGAGTTTGAATGGGATTAAACGGGTACAAAAGTGATAATATTCCACATAATCTCGAAGATTCCACTAAATTTGAGGAGTTGAGGGGGTGGATGTAATTATCCAAACAAGAGGGGTGTTTTTGTAATTCGACCATACCTCAGGAGGGTGTTTGTAATTTACCCAATATTAAATTATCGAATTAATAATTTAATATGTTCACACCAAGTCGGGATCGGAAAAAAATACTTTACCGCCATCGAGAAAGAAACGTATGAAAGTGCCATAGTGGCGCAAACATCTTTGTCTCCAAATGGATTGCCATTTTCCTTGCACATTGCAGGTACAATTATAATCAAAATGTTCCCCAAGTTTCCTATATTTTAAAAATTACAAAATATGTTGATTTCATTACTTCAATAATAATTATAATTATATATACTCTATAAATTTATGAAAAATTAAATACCAGGTAAATTACCGCCACACCCCTTGAGGTAATAATGTCAAGTTAAAAAAAAAAAAAAAAAAAAAAAAAAAAAAAACTCTTCTTTTTTAGTAATTACAACCACCCCTTAACTATGTGCACGTCCACACTTACGATGTCAAATCTAACAAAATCTTCTAGAGTATGTGGAATATTTTCTAGTTTGTAACACATTTTACCCCCTTCCATCTCCCTATTTTTAAACAGGATTATCATAAGATCCTTGTAAGTATCAGATTGTGGTGCATCTGAAACTGCATTTTTTTTTTCATAAAACAAATATGAATTGGAGAATATTCCGTTACCGTAAGGATGGACATGTAAGGCGAGATATAGTTGAAGGAGTTGATTGCAATTACCAAAAAAGATGAGCTTTTTTTTCGTAATTTGACCTCTTTCTTTTTCGCCGATTTTTTTTTTGCCGTAATTTGACCTTACCTTAGGGGTTAGTTGTAATTTACCCTAAATTACCTCCGGAACAAATGGCAACGATTAGATCTTGTAGATATGGCTCTGGCTTTAGTATTTTAGCTGCTATCCATCCAAATATTCCTCCAACTAAGAAAGTTATAGCAATGTTCACCGGCATGAACCACCTAATTAATTAATTCAAAATTAAATTATTACCATCAAAATTATGTTATATTGATTAGTAATGCAATTTGGCAATTTGAATACATATATATACCAAGAGATGATGTCTTGGAGAGTGACAGTCTCTGCCAAACTTCCAAACACTAGTGATGGAGTGAAGGCCACAAACACAATCTGTCGAATAATAACGAATAACGAAATACGAAAAAACGATCTGTCGATTTAATCGATCGAGCAATAGTAGTATATTATATTTATATATACTTAGTAAAAATTAAGTTACCTTGTTCAAAGATTTTCGGGCATCGGACGATAGAAGATTGAGATAATCGGTAGCCATGAAAGCTCCCAATATGCCTATTATGAGAACCTGTACTATTGGCATGGATGCCACTTTCAACAGTGACAAAAACCCCATTTTTTATTTTTTTTTTAATTTTTAATTTTTTTTTTCTCAGACAGGATTATATGTATGAAACCTCTGCAACTACTGTCTGAGAAATTTTTGGAAGGAATTTATTGGAGAAACTTGTTAGTTTCATTGCCATATAATATTAGCCACACAAATTGATAATGTTGAACAATAATATATAATAAATTAATAATATACACAACATCACCCATATGTATATAGAGAGAGATAGTAAGCTAAGATTTTGATAGTTTGAGGAAAGTTGTGCTGAACATTTTGTTTTTACCACTCAAAGTCAAACAAAATACAATTTAGTTAAGCAAATAAATATTTGAAAAAAAAAATCAAATCGGTTCTAGTTTAAAGGCATATCCAGTTAAATTTACCTACTCGATTTTATGTAACGATTATAAAAAAAATGGTAAAAAAAACAAGAAAAGTTATTTATTTTTGATAGGTAATGAAAGAAAATGATGGACTCATATTCATAATTTATCAAAAATGTAAATTTATTTATTTGTCATGTGATTAGTGGGATATAGTGAATTTGATTTAATATGCTATTTGTATGCATCCGACAAAACTAGATTTTAGAGCATGTGGGAAAGCATTAAAAAGGCCAAACTAACATCTACAATAATTGGTACTTTCTCTCTCTTATTTATATGTGGTTTTTTTTGGTTGAACATATATTAAAAAAATGAATAAATATGCATAAATTATATCGGAATAATATAGTAAATATTAAAATACTATTGTTATTAGTTATTTTTAATTAATTAATTAAAAGTGATAAGAGATAAAAAAATTTATAAAAAAATACAACTAATACTTTCTTGAAATTCTAAAGTGGCGAATAAATATGGGATTTGTTCGACCCTACACCCGGTGA